GAAGAAGGAAGCTGAGGAAGGAAGGAGGGAGAGAGAGAGGAAGGAAGAAAAGAGGAGGAAGGAAGGAAGAAGGGAAGAAAGGAAGAGGATAGGAAGGGAAAAAGAAAGAAGGGAAAAGAAGGAAGGAACGCGAAGGAAGGGAGGAAGGAAGGAGGAAGGGAGGAAGGAAGAAGGAGGAAGGAAGGAAGGAAGGAAGGAAGAAATGGAAGGAAGGAGAAAAGAAAGAAAAGAAGGGGAAGGAAGGAAAGGGAGAAGGAAGAAGGGAGGAGAAGGAGAAAGAAAGAAAAGAGGAAGAAGAAGAGAGGAAGAAGAGGAGGGAGGAAGGAGGATAAAAGGAAAACAAGGAAGGAAGGAAGGAAGGTGAGGAGAGAGGGAGGGAGGGAGGGAGGGAGGGAGGGAGGAAGGAAGGAAGGGAAGAAGGAAGAGCCCGGCAGGGCAGCTGGCTCTCTGAGCGACTGCAGGGAGACCCGACCGGCAGCCGGGCGCGTGCGGAACGGCGTTCTTCCCCCGACAAGGAGCACGGCTACGGCTATGGCCACGGAGAAAGGGGGTGAGGCTGCAAAGCAAAGAGGAGGAGGAAGCAGGGGAAAAACAAAAACAAAGAGGGCGCGCCGTCACCTGAGCTTCTCCCTGCTGTGCACAAACCGCACGCGCCTCTCCTTCAGGTCGCTCCAGCGGAAGCGGCCGGCCCGGCCCAGCTGCAGGTCTCTGCCGTCTGGGTGCAGCAGCAGCAGGCGCCCGTTGGAGGGGGGGCTGGCCACGTGGAACCGCAGGTGCCCCTCCCGGCCCCGCGGGGCCCGGACGTCCAGCAGGGAGAAGTCCAGCGGCTTCTCGGAGCCGATCGGGAGGGTCAGGGTCCCCTTCACCTGCAGACTGGGGGCGCCAGTCCCGCCTGGAAGAACGCACAGGGGCGAAGGTCAGGCTGGGGCGAGCAGTGACCGGCACTCTGGGGTCCCCACCCCCAACCTACGGCGACTTGTGTAATTACTTCGGAAAACCGTCTTCCACGAATGTGGTCCCTACTGCCAGGAAGGCTACAGACGGCTCCCGGGGGTCACCTCCTTCTAGACCACCTCCTTGCGATTTAGCCTCTAGAAAGATAAGGACTAAAACTGTTTTCAGATTACATGTAGATAAGGATTTGGGGCAGACCTCCGCCGTAATGTGACGCCATAAATAAAAACTACCAAACAAAGCGAGACACAGGCAAAAGTGTACGGCGTTCTTAGATCTCATTATAGCAGAATAATAACAACTATCATGTAAGTATTTTGTTTCCTGTCTTTCTAAACCGAATATATAAAAGGCTCCTTGCGATTTCCAGAGAGAAGGCCGGGCGCGGCGGCTCACGCCTGTCATCCCGGCTCTCCGGGAGGCCGAGGAGGGAGGATCGCTCGAGGTCAGGAGTTGGAGACCAGCCTGAGCAAGAGCGAGACCCCCCATCTCTACTAAAAAATTAGAAAGAAATTAATTGGCCAACTAATGCATACAGAAAAAAACTAGCTGGGCGTGGTGGCGCATGCCTGTAGTCCCAGCTACTCGGGAGGAGGCTGAGGCAGGAGGATCGCTTGAGCCCAGGAGTTGGAGGTTGCTGTGAGCGAGGCTGACGCCACGGCACTCACTCTAGCCTGGGCAACAGAGCGAGACTCTGTCTCAAAAAAATTTTAAAAAATTTTTAAATAATAATAAAAAATATATATATATATAGAGAGAGTTCCTCATTTCTCAGCAGCACGAGGAGTTTCCCTTTCTACCGTGGGGATCGGCCACATTTGCAAGCTCGGCCTTTGCAGAAAGGGACCACCTGCCCCTTCTCCTCCTGGCCGTCGGCGGGGGCGGGCGGGGGGCACTCACCGGCACAGGTCCCGTTGGAGGAGCCCGGGTCACAGCTGGGGAAACAGAGGCCGGTCTGCAGGAAGAACCCGTGGTCGCAGAGGTGGCACCGGTCTCCGTGGCCGCACTGCAGGCAGCCGGGAGGGCAGGCTGTCAATCAAAGAGAGGACGCGGGGCGTGAGCGTGAGTCAGCGAGGGCGCAGACGGACCCGGGGACCACCAGGGACGGGAAGGGAAGCGGCTCTAACTCTTGCGTTGGGGGGCAGGCAGCAAAGGGTCCCCGAAAGGAATGAAGGGAATTCTAAAGAGTTCCCCTGCAGGATTTCACGGGCAGCTGGCCCACCCTCAGAAGGAAACCCAACAGAGACGAGCACCCCTGCCTCACAGGATGCCACCCCAAAAACGTGGCGCATGGACTGTTTGAAGAGTTCACCACAGCGATTTGCACGGGAGGGCGCTCCGGGGGACTAAGAGCACGGGCGCTTTCTGACCCTCCTTCCTCCTCTACCTGTCGCCAGCAGCCGGCCCTGGGCAGTTTCTGTGAACAGTCTGCGCCGCGGTTTTCTCCTCTTAAAAATGGGCATAGTGGCCGGGCGCGGCGGTGGCTCACGCCTGTAACCCCAGCACTCTGGGAGGCCGAGGCGGGAGGATCGCTCGAGGTCAGGAGTTGGAGACCAGCCTGAGCAAGAGCGGGACCCCGTCTCTACTGAAAAATAGAAACTAATTGGCCAACTAAAAATACATATAGAAAACAATTAGCCGGGCGTGGCGGCGCATGCCTGCAGTCCCAGCTACTCGGGAGGAGGCTGAGGCAGGAGGATCGCTTGAGCCCAGGAGATTGAGGTTGCTGTGAGCGAGGCTGACGCCACGGCACTCAGTCTAGCCTGGGTGACAGAGCGAGACTCTGTCTCAAAAAAAAAAAAAAAAAAAAAAAAGGCATAGTAACAGCACCCAGTGCAAGCGATTGTTGGGAACATGACACGTGCTATGATGTGGCTAGAACAGTGCCTGGCGCACAGAAGGGGCTCGGTCGAGCCACCACCACTGTGCCTTCGACGATGGTGATGGTGATTGTTGTCAGCGAGACTAGCAGTAAGATTTCAAATGCACGAGGAGAGCCAGACACTTAACCACTTTGGTACGAGGGTCGACTGTAGCCGACAGCCACAGATGGATGCACACAGCCGGGCGTCGACTGTAGCCGACAGCCGTGACATGAAGGCGCACAGCCGAGCATGGACTGTGGCCGACAGCCGAGACATGAAGGTGCACAGCCGAGCATGGACTGTGGCCGACAGCCGTGACATGAAGGCGCACAGCCAAGCATGGACTGTGGCCGACAGCCGTGACATGAAGGCGCACAGCCGAGCATGGACTGTGGCCGACAGCCGTGACATGAAGGCGCACAGCCGAGCGTGGACTGTGGCCGACAGCCGTGACATGAAGGCGCACAGCCGAGCGTGGACTGTGCCGACAGCCGAGACACGAAGGAAGCCGAGCGTGGACTGGCCGACAGCCGTGACATGAAGGCGCACAGCCGACTGTGCGACAGCGACGGCCGCAGCTGTGGGCCGACAAGTCAGAAGCGAAGCGACATGACAGGACAGCCACAGCCGAGCGTGGACCTGTAGCCGACAGCCGTGAATGAAGGCGCACAGCCGGGCTCGACTGTAGCGACAGCCGTGACATGAAGGCGCACAGCCGAGCATGACTGTGGCGACAGCCGAGACATGAAGGTGCACAGCCGAGCATGGACTGTGCCGACAGCCGTGACATGAAGCGCACGGCAAAGCATGGACTGTGGCCGACAGCCGTGACATGAAGGCGCACAGCCGAGCATGGACTGTGGCGACAGCCGTGACATGAAGGCGCACAGCCGAGCGTGGACTGTGGCCGACAGCCGTGACATGAAGGCGCACAGCCGAGCGTGGACTGTGGCCGACAGCCGTGACATGAAGGCGCACAGCCGAGCGTGGACTGTGGCCGACAGCCGTGACATGAAGGCGCACAGCCGAGCGTGGACTGTGGCCGACAGCCGTGACATGAAGGCGCACAGCCGAGCGTGGACTGTGGCCGACAGCGAGACACGAAGGCGCACAGCGAGCGTGGACTGTGGCCGACCACGCGTGACATGAAGGCGCACAGCCGAGTGTCGACTGTAGCCGACAGCCGAGACATGAAGGCGCACAGCCGAGCGTGGACTGTGGCCGACAGCCGTGACATGAAGGCGCACAGCCGAGCGTGGACTGTGGCCGACAGCCGAGACACGAAGGCGCACAGCCGAGCGTGGACTGTGGCCGACAGCCGTGACATGAAGGCGCACAGCCGAGTGTCGACTGTAGCCGACAGCCGAGACATGAAGGCGCACAGCCGAGCGTGGACTGTAGCCGACAGCCGTGACATGAAGGCGCACAGCCGAGCGTGGACTGTGGCCGACAGCCGAGACATGAAGGCGCACAGCCGAGCGTGGACTGTAGCCGACAGCCGTGACATGAAGGCGCACAGCCGAGCGTGGACTGTGGCCGACAGCCGTGACATGAAGGCGCACAGCCGAGCGTGGACTGTGGCCGACAGCCGTGACATGAAGGCGCACAGCCGAGCGTGGACTGTGGCGACAGCCGTGACATGAAGGCCGCACAGCCGAGCGTGGACGTGTGGCCGACAGCCGAGACACGAAGGCGCACAGCCGAGCGTGGACTGTGGCCGACAGCCGTGACATGAAGGCGCACAGCCGAGTGTCGACTGTGGCCGACAGCCGAGACATGAAGGCGCACAGCCGAGCGTGGACTGTAGCCGACAGCCGTGACATGAAGGCGCACAGCCGAGCGTGGACTGGCCGCAGCCGAGACATGAAGGCGCACAGCCGAGCGTGGACTGTGGCGACAGCCGTGAACAGGTCACAGCCGCGTGGCTGTGCCGACAGCGTGACACAAGGCGCACAGCCGAGCGTGGACTGTGGCCGACAGCCGTGACACGAAGGCGCACAGCCGAGCGTGACTGTGGCCGACAGCCGTGACATGAAGGCGCACAGCGAGCGTGGACTGTGGCCGACAGCCGTGACCGAAGGCGCACAGCCGAGCGTGGACTGTGGCGACAGCCGTGACATGAAGGCGCACGAGCCGAGCGTGGACTCGTGCCGACAGCCGAGACATGAGGCGCACAGCCGAGCGGACTGTGGCCGACAGCCGTGACATGAAGGCGCACAGCCGAGCGTGGACTGTGGCCGACAGCCGTGACACGAAGGCGCACAGCCGAGCGTGGACTGTAGCTGACAGCCGTGACATGAAGGCGCACAGCCGAGCGCGGACTGTGGCCGACAGCCGTGACACGAAGGCGCACAGCCGAGCGTGGACTGTGGCCGACAGCCGTGACCAAGGCGCACAGCGAGCGTGGACTTGTGCCCGACAGCCGTGACACGAAGGCGCACAGCCGAGCGCGGACTGTGGCCGACAAGCCTAAAGCTTTTACTCTCACAGTTTCATCTCCGCAGCGGCAAGTGTGCTCGTCCAGCTAATACATCACCACGAATCTGTGACCTTCCAACGCCCTCAGTAGGAGTTCGCACAGCTATTTCCTAAAGCCGCCTGTGAAGCGAAACGAGCTCTCGCGGTTTCCAAGCTGTCCCGTCCACCACGAGCAGGACAGCGCGCCGTCCACGACGCAGCGCAGACGCCGTGCGACCACAGCCTGAGCGCGTCTTAAAGAGGTGGCCAACAGCGGCAGACATGCACGGAGACCAACCCGCGCTCAGGCTGCGTGCGCTGGCCTCTCTCTCTGCGTCCAGTCCGGGACGCTCTGGCTACCCCGAGCCAGCGCCGGGACCGGCCGCCTGCGCCGCCCACGTCCCCGTTACCTGTGCAGCGCTGCTCGCGAGGTCCGCCCGGTGGCCCTGCCCGCACTCCCGCACACACCGGCTCCAGCAGGAGAAAGGGCGGCTCACAGCGCTGCACTCCTGGGGGCCCTGGCACTGCAGACGTGGCTTGCCACAGCCTGGAACAAGCGGTGAGCCGGGACACCGTGGCCTTCCCAGGGGGCCGGTCTTCTCGGCAAGACGGCACAGCCGGTGTCTGGGCAGAGCACTGTCACACGCGGCCCCGGAGCCTGGCTCTGCTCGCGACTCCGATCCCAGCCGGCTGGTGGCCTGGGACCCGCTCCTCCACCTCTCTGAGCTTCAGAGCTCCTCCCTGCAAAACGGGCACGAGACCACGGCCCGGCCTCCGCCCTGGGCGGGGAGCAATCTACCTCCTTTCAGACGGCTCTCGAGTGTTTCCCAATCTCCAGCCCTTCCCCTGGGGGTGAAGGAGAGCACCTCGTAGAGACCCACCGAAAGCTTGTCAGGTACACAAGCAGCGCTGAACCTACCTGCATTCATTCGCGAGCGGAAGAATAATCTCCTGTAAGACCCTGCAGAGTTGTGCCGCCCACGGGAAAAGGGACCCAATCTACACACTTAACGTAAATTCCTTTGCCCCTCTTCACAGAGGAAAGTGTTGTACACAATACCCCCTTTAAAAAAAAGTTATTGAGGGCTTTAACTGCTTAATTAGTGGCTTAATGTTTTTGTAACTAAAAGTTATAATTATTGGGAAAAAAAATGACACTCGTGAAATCCATTATCTGTAGTCATGATGATTAAATAACGTGCAGGCCGGGCACGGTGGCTCACGCCTGTCACATCCCGGACTCTGGGAGGCCGAGGCGGGAGGATCGCTCGAAGGTCAGGAGCTCGAAACCAGCCTGAGCAAGAGCGAGACCCGTCTCTACTAAAAATAGAAAGAAATTAGCTGGACAACTAAAATATATATAGCAAAAATCAGCCGGCATGGTGGCGCATGCCTGTAGTCCCAGCTACTCTGGAGGCTAGGCAGGAGGATTGCTCGAGCCAGGAGTCTGAGGGCTGCTGAGCGAGGCTGACGCCACGGCACCTCACTCTAGCCTGGGCAACAAAGCGAGACTCTGTCTCAAAAAAAAAAACAAAAAAAACAAACTGTAGGCCGGGCGAGGTGGCTCACGCCTGTCATCCCAGCACTCTGCGAGGCCGAGGCGGGAGGATCGCTCGAGGTCAGCAGTTCGAGACCAGCCTGAGCAAGAGCGAGACCCGTCTCTACTAAAAAAATAGAAAGAAATTAACTGGCCAACTAAAAATACATAGAAAAATTAGCGGGGCGTGGTGGCGCATGCCTGTAGTCCAGCTACTCGGGAGAGGCTGAGGCAGGAGGATCGCTTGAGCCCAGGAGTTGGAGGTTGCTGTGAGCGAGGCTGACGCACGGCACTCACTCTAGCCGGGCCACACAGTGAGATCTGTCTCACAAACAAAAAAATCCAAACCGTGACCGGGCCTCGGCGAGCCTCTTCCCTCGGCCCTCCAGTGCTCCTGGGTCGCGGTCCCCAAACCTGGTCAGGGTAACCTTCTCGCAAACATTTCCGAGTCGGAATATTCCGACCACACGCGCGCTCGCCGGGCGGGAGGGGCCCTCCGGGGCTTACTTCTGCAGAGGCGCCGCCGTCCCGGTAGTGCGCGGCCCGCACGGCTCCACGCAGGCCCCATCCTGCAGCACGAGCCGTCCATGCAGCCCAGGCAGTCCGTGCGCAGGTGCCCGCTGCAAGCCTCGCAGCTCCAGTCGCACTCTGCAAGGAGAGTCTCGCCTGAGACCCGCACCACCCGGCCACCTGCCCCCGCCCGCACCTGTCGCTGGCCCGCTCCTCTCCCCAAGCCAGTCGTCCTTGGTCGGCGGCCGGGACCAGAGTCTGCAGAACGGGAGCCCGTTGCCTTCCCGCAACGGGCAGACGGGGTATGGGAAACCGTTTTGCTGCCATCATTGCTTTCCTTGCTATGATCATTACGGATGGTGTCGTATTGCTGTTATTTTTCATTTTATTTTATTTCAGCATATTGTGGGGGTACAAGTGTCAAGGTCACGTATATTGCCTTGGCCTCCCCTCGCATCTCGAGTCAGAGCCTCAAGCGTGCCCATCCCCAGACGGTGCACGTCTCACTCGTCGTGTTGTCTACACCCGTCCCTCCTCCTCCCACCTGCCCGACACCCGACAGATGTCACTCCTGTGTGTCACTTAGGTGCTGATCCGTCAACACCAGTTTGCTGGTGACGCACGGCGGGTGCTTGTGTTTCCATTCTCGGACGCTTCCTTAGTAGGATGGGCTCCAGCTCCAGCCAGGTATGCGTTGTCTTTTATTTTTTTTGTATTTTCCCAGGCTAGAGTGAGTGTTGTGGCATCCAGTCTAGCTACAGCAACCTCAGACTCCTGGGCTCAAGCGATCCTCCTGCCTCAGCCTCCACCCAAGTAGCTGGGACTATAGCATGCGCCACCAGCCACGGCAATTTTTTATTCATATATATTAGTGCAATTAATTTCTTTCTATTTTTTAGTAGAGATGGGGTCTCGCTCTGCTCAGGCTGGTTTTGAACCTGACCTCGAGTGATCCTCCTGCCTCGAACCTCCCAGAGTGTGGATGACAGCGTGAGCCACCATGCGCCGGTCTGCTGTTGTCTTTAATGGCCCAGGCATTTCCGATGCAGCCAGAAAAACTCACGTTGGGAGCCAGTGTTTGGCTGATAAGGTGAACCCTCCACACTAAGAAGTGGGCTGAGATGGCACGGTTAAGTTCGTGGGTTTTGAAAGAGTCGGCAAATCTGTACTCAAAATCGTGCTTTATCCGACATCTGTCCTGAAACTTTTGAACCTCAGATTTACCATCTCTAAAATAGGGATGAAAAGAGCACCCACCGCATAGCTATTGCAAAGATTAAATGAAATGATGAAGTAAAGAATTAGCAGTGCCTGGCGGATACCATGTTCCCGGAAAATAAGAACCACCATGTTAAGAGTCACCAATAGACCCTACCCTGAACAGCTTCAGTGGTGGGCGTGCTATGAAAAAATCAGCTAGTGAAGTGGTGTTGCCATGAAAATATCAGCCATGAGTGGCGTGGCTATGAAATCAGCCCGTGATGGGCGTGGCATGGAAAAATCAGCCCTGGTGGCGGGCTATGAAATCAGCCCTGTGATGGCGTGGCTATGGAAAAAGCCCCAGTGAGGGCCTTATGACAGCAGTGGCGGTGAAACCAGCCCTAGTGATGGGCGTGTCTATGAAAATCCGAGCCTAGTGATGGGCGTGTTATGAAAATCAGCCCTAGTGA